ATATGACGTTCCAAAACGACATAACTCCGCGCGGAGATATGACGTTCCAAAACGACATAATATCTCGGGTAATAGTTCCGCGCGGATATGACGTTCCAAAACAACATAATATCTCGGATAATAGCTCCGCGCGGAGATATGACGTTTCAAAACGACATAACTCCCCGCGGAGATATGACGTTCCAAAACGACATAACTCCGCGCGGAGATATGACGTTCCAAAACGACATAACTCCCCGCAGAGATATGACGTTCCAAAACGACATAATATCTCGGGTAATAGATCCACGTGGAGATATGACGTTTCAAAACGACATAACTCCCCGCGGAGATATGACGTTCCAAAACGACATAACTCCGCGCGGAGATATGACGTTCCAAAACGACATAACTCCGCGCGGAGATATGACGTTCCAAAACGACATAACTCCGCGCGGAGATATGACGTTCCAAAACGACATAACTCCGCGCGGAGATATGACGTTCCAAAACGACATAACTCCGCGCGGAGATATGACGTTCCAAAACGACATAACTCCGCGCGGAGATATGACGTTCCAAAACGACATAACTCCGCGCGGAGATATGACGTTCCAAAACGACATAACTCCGCGCGGAGAAATGACGTTTCAAAACGACATAATATCTCGGGTAATAGCTCCGCGCGGAGATATGACGTTCCAAAACGACATAACTCCGCGCGGAGAAATGACGTTTCAAAACGACATAATATCTCGGGTAATAGATCCACGTGGAGATAGGACGTTTCAAAACGACATAACTCCCCGCGGAGATATGACGTTCCAAAACGACGTAACTCCCCGCGGAGATATGACGTTCCAAAACGACATAACTCCTCGCGGAGATATGACGTTCCAAAACGACATAACTCCCCGCGGAGATATGACGTTTCAAAACGACATAATATCTCGGGTAATAGCTCCGCGTGGAGATATGACGTTCCAAAACGACATAATATCTCGGGTAATAGCTCCGCGCGGAGATATGACCTTTCAAAACGACATAACTGCGCGTGGAGATATGACGTTCCAAAACGACATAATATCTCGGGTAATAGCTCCGCGTGGAGATATGACGTTCCAAAACGACATAATATCTCGGATATTAGCTCCGCGCGGAGATATGACGTTTCAAAACGACATAACTCCCCGCGGAGATATGACGTTCCAAAACGACATAACTCCCGCGGAGATATGACGTTCCAAAACGACATAACTCCCGCGGAGATATGACGTTCCAAAACGACATAATATCTCGGGTAATAGCTCCGCGCGGAGATATGACGTTCCAAAACGACATAATATCTCGGATATTAGCTCCGCGCGGAGATATGACGTTTCAAAACGACATAACTCCCCGCGGAGATATGACGTTCCAAAACGACATAACTCCCGCGGAGATATGAAGTTCCAAAACGACATAACTCCTCGCGGAGATATGACGTTTCAAAACGACATAATATCTCGGGTAATAACTCCTCGCGGAGATATGACGTTTCAAAACGACATAACTCCCCGCGGAGATATGACGTTCCAAAACGACATAACTCCTCGCGGAGATATGACGTTCCAAAACGACATAACTCCCCGCGGAGATATGACGTTTCAAAACGACATAATATCTCGGGTAATAGCTCCGCGCGGAGATATGACGTTCCAAAACGACATAACTCCCCGCGGAGATATGACGTTCCAAAACGACATAATATCTCGGGTAATAGCTCCGCGCGGAGATATGACGTTTCAAAACGACATAGCTCCGCGCGGAGATATGACGTTCCAAAACGACATAACTCCCCGCGGAGATATGACGTTCCAAAACGACATAACTCCCCGCGGAGATATGACGTTTCAAAACGACATAATATCTCGGGTAATAGCTCCGCGCGGAGATATGACGTTTCAAAACGACATAATATCTCGGGTAATAGCTCCGCGCGGAGATATGACGTTCCAAAACGACATAACTCCCCGCGGAGATATGACGTTCCAAAACGACATAGCTCCGCGCGGAGATATGACGTTCCAAAACGACATAACTCCCCGCGGAGATATGACGTTCCAAAACGACATAACTCCCCGCGGAGATATGACGTTTCAAAACGACATAATATCTCGGGTAATAGCTCCGCGCGGAGATATGACGTTTCAAAACGACATAATATCTCGGGTAATAGCTCCGCGCGTAGATATGACGTTCCAAAACGACATAACTCCCCGCGGAGATATGACGTTCCAAAACGACATAACTCCCGCGGAGATATGACGTTCCAAAACGACATAACTCCCCGCGGAGATATGACGTTCCAAAACGACATAACTCCCGCGGAGATATGACGTTCCAAAACGACATAACTCCCGCGGAGATATGACGTTCCAAAACGACATAGCTCCGCGCGGAGATATGACGTTCCAAAACGACATAATATCTCGGGTAATAGCTCCGCGCGGAGATATGACGTTCCAAAACGACATAACTCCCCGCGGAGATATGACGTTCCAAAACGACATAACTCCCCGCGGAGATATGACGTTCCAAAACGACATAACTCCGCGCGGAGATATGACGTTCCAAAACGACATAATATCTCGGGTAATAGCTCCGCGCGGAGATATGACGTTCCAAAACGACATAACTCCCCGCGGAGATATGACGTTCCAAAACGACATAACTCCCCGCGGAGATATGACGTTCCAAAACGACATAACTCCGCGCGGAGATATGACGTTCCAAAACGACATAATATCTCGGGTAATAGCTCCGCGCGGAGATATGTCGTTTTGGAACGTCATATCTCCGCGGGGAGTTATGTTGCTTCTAAAATAGAATATATATATGCATTTGATGTTTGAAGAAGAGGGTTCAGGGTATCCCCTCCCCTAGGCGGGAGCTCCCGACTAGAACCTCTTGTTTTTTTTGTTAATTGTGTTGAACTTGACTTGTACACTAATTGCTCGGTACCCCCTAGACACACCCCACCCCGCTTCAGGCTAACCTTTGTAGAAAACGAAAACAACAACAATAGACGCAATTATAATCAAATCGATGGCCTTTGAACTGCTTAATTATTGGATATTTGCCCCGCACAGAAGACCCCATGTAAATTGAAATATATTTCGATGTGTGTGCCTGTGTGTGTGTGTGCGTGTGTGTGTGTGTGCGCAGATGTGGGCACATTCCAATGCCCCAATCTGAGTGCAAACAACAACAACTGACACAATTAAAACATTTGCAGCTGATCGAAGCTGAAATACTCTATAAAAATATATACAAAATAAATATATTCAATAGAAAAGAGCATCAGATTTGTATACGAATTTGAGACTTATGAGACTTAATCCAACATGTGCAATAATCAAATGTAAATAATGCGAAAGGACAAGCTAGACGTGTGCATATAATCGATAGGAATTTAAGTAGTTTAGCTTTATTTATCGATATATCGATAGAAATTAAAGAAGATCGAGTGCAGAGATCGTGTGTTAAACGATATTGTTTGCAATATATATTGCCACATATTGATAACTTCGCCCATTTGCACAATATCGATAAATATCGAACATCAAACGAAAGTGAAAGATATTTCCCTTGTGAAAGAGTCCGCCCAAAATTGAAGAAAACCTCGCTTGAGTGCCATATGCCGTTTGGCAATGCCATTTAAAAGACACGAAAAGTTCAAAAAGATCGGACAATAAGCACCGAAGTTAATTGAGAATGCGTAAGGGAAGAGCTAAGGTCAAGATAACAGACAGAAATAGGTGGAAATTTGTAGGGAACGAAGCGAGTAGGCAACTCGAGCCCGAGTAGAGGGTATCGCATAGTCAATCACTTGCGGCTGTACTGCCGTTGTGGTTATTAATCATCGCGTCGATGCGTGCGCATATTTTTTATAGGGAAAATTAGAATGGAATTGAATTATTATTGATCGGGTGGGGCTTTTCCAGACAGAGATGTGCGTGCATAGCGTATTGTTATATAACGCTTTGTCCGTTCAGTGCGTCACATATGCCATCACATATTTGGAAGAACCCAACCACCAGCCGCCCCCCTCCATTAAGGGTATCGATAACAGTTGATGGCCAGTTGGCCGAGTACTTCAGCACTTCGGTTACGGGTTACGGTTTGCTAAGCACGCGATGCCCCTGTTAAAGCGCTTAATGCAGTCGTTAATTCTCTAAACAAAGTTACTTTCTCCTCGCAAAGCAACAGAAACTTTCGTAATTGTTTAACTGAAGTTCTTTCTAGTCAAATCGAAACAAGTTCAGATCTAAATTGTTCAATTGTATTCAACGATTTCCCAATTGAATCAAGCTCAAGTCACCGACGTGCTCCTTCCGGGTATCGATCCACAAGAAGTCTGATAAATAGATATATCTTTAGAGTAAAAAAAGTGAAGGTTATTGTAAACATGATAGAAACATGTATCTGTTATGGCCATAAAATCTGAAATGGCACGAATAGAGCTTGCCTTTGTTCGGCATATTAATAGAAATCCATATCATGCTTTTACGATATGCTAATCGAATCAAATCAATTGCTCAGACGCACTTCGTCATTTACAATCTTTGCTTAAAAAATTGCATTTTTCTAGCTCAATTTCTATCTAATTCTCATATTAATGATAAATTGTTTCTGCGAGAGAGAGAATAGAAGAGGGTGAGAGAGAGAGAGAAAGAGAGAGAGAGGGAAAGGGAAAGAGAGTGATATAGATAGAAAGAGAGCGAGAGAGTATGATAATGAGAATGAGAGAGGGAGAGGTGTGAGTAAAAGATAGATAGGGAACAAGTGAAAGACAAATAGAGAGAGTGAGAGAGTGAATGAGTTGTCGCCTTCCTTCCGTTGGATTTGTCGTCTTAAGCTCCATAGACCTCTTAAAATATTTGCTAACCGAATGATTCATACCCTTACGTATCTTTGTTTCGTTGTGTGCGCTGTGTTTTAATGGAGTTGCATCCCAATTCTGATTGATTATCTTGCAGAAATGAGTGCCTCATCAGTGTGCGAGACGGCAACGAATTCAAGCGAATTATCAGCGGCAACAGCCAAGGGCAACAGTTGAACAAGAGAACGAAGAAGAATAAGCAGAAAGCTAAGAACAGCAAGTGCAACAAATTGTGTTGCAACGAAACAAACCGAAACGAGAAGCGTTCTAAATACAGTAAACACCGGCTAAGAGATACAAACAAACAAAAAAAAAAAGTGCACAAAAACCAAAAACAAGCAAAGCAAATAGAAGCATCGCCCGCGTCGAACAAAAACAGAAAGAAAAAAAAACGTGCCCCAAAAACCAAAAGAAACGAAAAATAAATAAACAAAATACAAAACAATTGAAGAGCAAACATAACCTAAAATCAAAATCAGAAACCAAATAAAATCCGAGGCACGCACAAGGAGACAGGAGACGAGAAGAGTAGCGTCAGAGAGTACAGTGCACACTCGATATGATGAACTCGACAACGAAACATCTGCTGCACTGCACGCTGCTCTTCACTGTGATAATTGCCTGCGAAGTATTCTCCGGCGGTATTAAGATCGATGAGAACTCCTTCACCCTTGTCGATCCATGGACTGAGTATGGCCAATTGGCCACCGTATTGCTGTACTTATTGCGTTTCCTCACCCTGCTCACCCTGCCGCAGGTGCTGTTCAATTTCTGTGGCCTCGTCTTCTATAATGCCTTCCCCGAGAAGGTTGTGCTCAAGGGCAGCCCCCTGTTGGCCCCCTTTATATGCATACGCGTGGTCACCCGGGGCGATTTTCCCGAACTAGTCAAGATGAATGTGTTGCGCAACATAAATACATGCCTCGATACGGGCCTTGAGAATTTCCTGATCGAGGTCGTTACCGACAAGGCAGTGCATCTGGCCCAGCATCGGCGCATCCGTGAGATTGTTGTGCCCAAGGAGTACAAGACGCGCACCGGCGCCCTATTCAAGTCGCGCGCCCTACAATACTGTCTCGAGGATACGGTGAATGTGCTCAACGATAACGATTGGATTGTTCATCTGGACGAGGAGACACTGCTCACCGAGAACTCGGTGCGCGGCATTATCAATTTTGTGCTGGATGGCAAGCATCCCTTTGGCCAGGGCCTCATCACCTATGCCAATGAGAACGTTGTCAACTGGCTGACAACCCTGGCGGACAGCTTTCGTGTATCCGACGACATGGGCAAGCTGCGCCTGCAGTTTAAGCTCTTCCACAAGCCGCTCTTCAGCTGGAAGGGCAGCTATGTGGTCACCCAAGTGAGTACCTAAGGAATTCCAATTCAATTTAAATGCGCTTTGTGTAATATGAAAATTCTGCCAAAAACTTAACTTGTCATACTCTCAGTTAACTAGATTCCTATAAAAACGTTTCACAATACTTCTCATACTTCAAGTTTACCAGATTTCTATGAAAACGTTTCACAATACTTTTCATACTTCAAGTTTAGTTGATTTCTATGAAAACGTTTCACAATACTTCTCATACTTCAAGTTAACTAGATTCCTACAAAAACGTTTCACAATACTTCTCATACTTCAAGTTTAGTTGTTTTCTATGAAAACGTTTTCCAACACTTACCTGTTGACTAATCCAGGAATAGATGCCTTTAGTAGAGAAGAAGCGCAGACTCCGAAAATAATGCTCTATAGGGCTTTTTATGATTCTCATCAAGGAGTAGAGCAGATGGTGTTGCAGTCATTCGCTGGCAGAGACTAATGTAATAGATGCATATATATGTATATGTATTTAAATTGAATTAGCATTGCCTTTGATTATAATGATGATATTATACGTACATGCATTGATTTAATTTGTGTTTTTGGCTTTAAACAGGTTGGCGCCGAGCGTTCCGTATCGTTTGACAATGGCATCGATGGCTCCGTGGCGGAGGATTGTTTCTTTGCGATGCGCGCCTTCAGCCAGGGCTACACGTTCAACTTCATCGAGGGCGAGATGTACGAGAAGTCGCCGTTCACGCTGTTGGATCTGCTGCAGCAGCGCAAGCGCTGGCTACAGGGCATACTCCTGGTGGTGCACTCAAAGCTGATACCGTTCCGGCACAAGCTGCTGTTGGGCATCAGCGTTTATTCGTGGGTAACAATGCCGCTATCCACATCGAACATCATATTCGCCGGCCTCTATCCGATACCCTGTCCCAATCTGGTTGATTTTGTTTGCGCCTTCATTGCGGCCATCAATATCTATATGTATGTGTTTGGTGTCATCAAATCCTTTTCACTGTACCGCTTCGGGCTGCTCAAGTTTTTGGCGTGCGTTTTGGGCGCCGTCTGTACGATACCCGTCAATGTGGTCATCGAGAATGTGGCCGTCATTTGGGGCCTCGTTGGCAAGAAGCACAAGTTCTACGTTGTCCAGAAGGATGTTCGTGTCCTGGAGACTGTTTAAGCGCCAGCGCCAGAGCAAATGCACTAATTTAACTGTAATTAACACAAATCGAAAATCAATTAATCAAAATGCAAAAAACCAAATGAAACAAATTAATCGCACAACAACAACAACAGGAGCAACAACAGCAGCAACAACAACATCATGATCTTTTTTATTCGTAAGCTTAAGTTGCACACACACACGCACACACTCACACACACATACACACACACACACTTATTGTTGTTACGTTCTAAACACACTGAGAAAAATTTACTTTGGCCGCCCTTTTGCAACACTGTTAAATTGCCAAAACAAAAAAAAACGTTTATAATGCTAGAACAAATAGTTATATATATACATATTAAGTATATATATACACACACACACACACACACACATGTGCTATACACTTGTCTTAATACATGCACGCACACACACACACTAACACACACACACACACACACAAACTTAAAAGGAAAAGCTAAAAAAAAAAAAATTCTAAGTTAATAATAAATTTTGCATTAAGTGTAATTTTTTTTTATAGTCATTAGTAGCGAGTTAGAAGAAGAAGCAGCAGCAGCAGCAACAACAACAACAACAACAGTAAAACGCTATAAAAAAAAGATATATATATGTATATATATATATATATATATATATATATATATGTATGTGTGTATGTTTATATTGTATGTACTATATTATGTAGATTTATATGATTATCATTATTATTATTTAAATTTAAACTGTGTACATTAATGTATTGTAAATTGATGAACTGTTAAATATCATTCACACCAAATCACCAAAACAACAACAACAACAACAAGAAGAAGAAAAACAATCGCATAAACCCTCGACTTTTATGTACTTACATATGTTTCTATGTATGTCCCCTATTATGTATATGTGTACATATATATGTATGTATGTATGTATGTATGTATAGCCCGTATGCTGGCAGGCATGTGTAACTGCATATATGCACACGCACGCAACATATACCAATACAAGCAAACGACAACAACAACAACTACAACTGCAACTACAATTATGAAGCCCGTCCCCGCGTCGCTTTAGTTTATCCAAAGGAGCAACAATTGCTTTTCATTTGTTAAATCATTTTGTATTTATTATAAACACACACACACACACACACATACACATACGTACACGCACACACATACGAAACTTACTGAGAACCGATCAAAGTTGGATATTCTCTAAACTAAACACACACACACACACGCACACACACACGCGCACGGTGTGAATGATAGCTATCGTGTTTTTCAACACTGTTCTGGTCGCGGCCCGTCGAATTTTTGCATTAATTTAATGTTTCTATATTTTAATTCATTTTTTTTTTTTTTTACTGTTATTGGTGCTTTGATAAATTCAACACACACTCGCGCACACACACACACACGCACACACACTTGCATAGACAAACAGCCGAAAAAGCCGCCGCCAGCAGTTAGTCGACATCCCTTAAAAGCAACACACACGCACACACACACACATACATCCACATCCACACACCCACACACAAACACATTTCAAACTGTTTGCAAATGATATAAAAAAAAAAGAACCAAATACAAAACGATAATAAAATGAGCAACAAAATATCTATAATAAAAACAAATTAAATAAAAGTCTTGTGTTTTTCTTAAAACAACTTCCAAACAGATTAAATTAAGTTAATGGGTCTGGAAATTACTTTGGGTATAAATGTGGATTCGTTTGTTATTGAAGAAAAAAAGAGTTTGGGCAAAAGTTTGGAAAACAGAAAACAACATGAAAATATTGAGAAACCATTTTCAAAATACAATTTGAATAAAAAGCAATTTAGCTGCAAAACCTAATCAAAATTGTCAGCAATTCGGTTTCAAGTGCGAACCAATAATTCGTCAGTTGGTTCGACTCGTGAACCAGCAGCTAATTCACTTGCAACAACTTAGTTTATTACATAGTTAAATAATTAATAAAATCGAAGAGCGTATATTAAATATAAGCAAAAACATAGATTTTTAGCAATATTTTTAAATTTGCATATAATAAAAACAAACATAAATTGATCGAGTCAGCAGTGCGTGCCATCTCTTTCTTGGATCATAACACGCTCTCTTTCATACCCGTGCACACAGATTGAAAAATACAATTTACTTGAAAATGCACGAATATTTTAAATAAATATAGGATATATGTACGTATCTCATCAGTTCTTGCAATTAAACGTACATGAGCATAGGAAAACAGAACTAACTGAAATTGATAGTGATACACATTAACAACAACTTTCACTTAACACAATATTCAAAATACAAAACATTAACGTAATAATTTAAAAGTTAGAATCTGCCCTGTAGAAAGGGGGATAAGGAGCAGGACTCCGCTTAGAAGAATTTATTTTTAGTTGAGGGCGTATGCAGGAGCAGCTCCGAGTTTCTGTAAGAGAGAAATATCTATATAAAGACATTGTTTGTGAAAATCAATTCTTAGTCAGACCTGGTCAGTCGGGAGTTACGCTTCTCCAGCACAGAGTTCGGACTGGAGAGTGGCCCGGGATTGGTGTGATCTTTCGATTTGATCACATCTGCATCGGCATCCGCATCCTGCTCGACTTCCGTGACGTCGCTGCTCACCGTAACTGTCATATTCTGAGCTGTGCTGGGCGTGGAGTTCTCCTTGTCGGCATTGTTAACTGGATTCTGGCAGTTGCCCCGGCACTTGCAGGAGCTGCTGCAGCCGCTGCTTGTCGAGAAACAGCCGCAACGCTTCGTGTTGCAATTTTTGCGGCATTTACAGCACTTCGCTCCTTTGCGCGTCTCATCCGTTATCGAGCTCATGTCTATGGAGCCCTGCAGGCTGTTGTTGGCGGTGGTATTGTTATTGATGCTAGTGCTGCCGTTGGGATTGTCGCCCTCGCTAGCTGCTTCCAGCGTTGCGGTGTCTGAATGCGACTTCTGTGTGAATAAGGGAAATTGCGAGAATTAGGCGAAGGAGAAATGGGGGACTTATAGACTGCACTCTGGGCATGGCACTTGCCTTGGAACGTTTTTTCAATGGCACCCAGTCGGGATCGCTGTCTGAATCCTCATGTCCGTCGCTTAGCACGCTATCGTTAAGAAAGATAACTGTCTCGTCGGCGGGCTGGGGCTTCTTTGTTGCTTTTTGTTTGGACTTGATGCGATCGAGCTCCTGCTGCAGCGCCTCCTTGGTGCTGAGCAGCTCCTCGACTATTTTCTGGCGCTCCAGATCTTCGGGCTTTTGGGAATCAGCGCCACCCAGCGCATGCGAGCTGCGCAGCAGCACCGCAACCTTCTCCTCGTAACTGCGCTGCTGGCTAGCCATCAGTTGCTCGTGCTCTCTCTCCGCCTGGCGCAGGCGTTTGGTCAGCTCCTCGTGCCGCTGCTGCGCCTCGTTCAGCTGGCTGCGCTGCTCGTCCACCAGCACCTTCTGCTCCATGATGCCCTGCGCCTGTTCGCGCCGCTGCTGCACGAGACTCTTGAGCAGCTGCTTATTAATTGCACGCGACTCGCCTATGCTCTGGACGCTGTCGCATAGCGCAGCCATGCGACTGTCTAGATCGTTGGAGCAGACCTTCTGCTGCAGATCTGCTATTTGGGCATTGCGCATCTCCAGTTCCTCCTCGAGGCTGGCCAGTAGCTGAGCCTGTTCTGCGTCTGGCTGCGGCTCCTGCTGCTGCTGCGCTCTAATTTCCGAGCAGTGGGCATTGATGATGGCACGATCCTCCATTAGCTGTTCCAGACTGTGCTCGGCGTCGATCAGCGAGAGAATCACCTCCAGTTCGCGATCCACCAAAGCATCTAGCTTGGCTGCACCCGGCTGATCCTTGGCATGACGCTGACGTTGCGCCTGCGCCGCTCTCTGCCGTTCCAGTGCATCCTTGAGCCTAAAAACAGAAAAGCAAAAGTTTATTCCTTCTTTCCTTTCTTCGAAATATTGCTCCAGCCTTCAATTTGCAATTCAATTACCGCTTGTTGGTGGCCAGCGCCTCCTCGCACTTGCGCTTGAGCACCAGGCGCTGCTTTGCGTGCAGCGTCTGCTGGCGCGCCATCTCGCTCTGCATCTTGCGATCCTTGCTCTTGAGCTGCGTCAGCTGCTTCTCGCTCATCATTTTCCACTGGCGGAAGCGCTCGGACTCGCCGCGCATGGCGCGTATTAGCTTTACCTTTGACTCCTTCATGGCGCGTATCTCGGTGCTGAGGTTCTGGATCTTTTCGCGCTCTTTTTCGCGCATCTTTAACATATTTGCCTGCTGCACGATCTTCCGACGCATGTCGACAATCTCCTGCTCGAGCACCTGCAGCCGCTTGCGCCGCTCCTCGGCCAGCTTGGCGGATGTGTCCTTTTGCTTGGTGGTACGCAGCTGGTCCATCAGCTCACGTCGCTCCGATTCCAGCTGCTCGATCTTCTGCTCGCACTGTTTGAACTTCTCGTCGATGCCATCATCTTGGAGTTTGCTAAAGTTGCGCGTGACGCGGTCGTGCAGCTCCTGCTTTATGTCCAGCTGGCGATTTATGTTGCGCAGTTCGCCGTTCAGATTCAGCTGCTTCATCGTGTGCTCCTCGGTGCGCGACTGCAGCAGCTCGTGCGTCTCCTCGCTGCCAAAGTTGGAGTCCTCGCTGCTGCTGCCGTTGCTGTTGCCACCGTTGAGGCATTCCTTGCGATGCGCCTGCAGTGCGGTTTCCGTCTGCTGCAGCTCCTCGTCCACGCACGTCACAAGCTGCGTGATTTCGCGCATCTGCTCCTGCCACCTCGTATCCAGTAGCTGCTGTGACTGATCCGGCTCGTGCTGCACACCCTGCTCTTCTGCCTTGGGCATTGCCGTCTCGGTCAGTTTCGACTTCAGCTCGAGCACGTGCGCTTTGAGCTTGTCGTGCGTGACCTCTGCTATGTGGGCACGCATCTCATTCTCGGCCAGATCGATGAGTGCCTGGTGCAGCTCCTGCTGCAGTCTTTGATTCTTCTTTTCAATGCGAGCGTTCGCCTGCTGTAGCTGCTCCAACTGTTCGTTAAGGCGCTGCTCCTTCAGCCCTGAGGAGCCGTTCATACAGGGACCGTCAATGCCAAGGCCATTGCCATCGCCGCCGCCTCCGCCACAGGCTAGCAACTTGACGCGCAAGTTCTGTATGATGTCCTTGAGCATCATTACCTCAGCCGCATGAGCGTCCATATTCACGACGGGCTTGTTCTTGATCTGCAGTGCGCGATCCGCATACCTCAATGTGCTGAGCGTCTCGGCGACGTTATAGTCCGCGGGACTGACACAGGCAATCATAAGGGTAATCGAATTGCCACCCAGCGAGTCCTGCAGCAGGCGCGTCAGCTTGGACTGTCGATAGGGCACATAGCCCGCCGTTTGGCCAGCTGCAAGGCGAGAAATAGATAAGTGTTATAGGATTAGTCAAGTTAGATGCTTGCATCTGATATAAGGCATCCCGCTTTACTTACAGCCCAGCACATTGATGACGTTGCCCAGCGCGAGGAGGCCCTTGTTGATGTTGACGCCTTCCTTGAAACGATCCCCACAAGCGAGCGTCTTTGAGCAGCGCTCAGAGCCCGCCAGATCGACCAGGCTGAACTTGGAAGTCGTCACTGTCTTCCTAAATAATCAAAGCACATTAACAACTTGAAGGGAACTGAGATTAGCCACTCGACTGCTCGACTTACTGGCCAGTCTTTCTGGTGGTGACAACAGTCAATGTGAAGATAGCGTGCGAACGGGACGACGTCTCATTCATAGCTGTGGCGGCGACTGCGCGGCCTGAGGAGCCGCGCATCAGTTGGTCGGTGACATGCTTGGCGTGCTTGACCTCGACCTCGGTGAGTCCCGGCAGGACAATGCGGTTCTTGTCCTCGCGTATGTCTACAGTGCTGTCCTCGCGCTTGTTGGGCGAGAACAGGTCGTAGAACTGCTCTTGATACAGTTCTACAAAGGAGCAGGTGATTTTGAAATGGAACTCCTCCTCCATGGCGGCCGTCTCCTCAAAGATTTCGTGCACTGCACGCGGTATCACGCCCACATTGTCATCCATGACCCCATCGAACGCAGTTCCCATCGTGTAGGTCTTGCCAGAGCCCGTCTGGCCGTAGGCGAGTATCGTCACGTTGTATCCATGGAGCAGCTTCTTCAGCTTGCTCCGCACACACGCCTCGTACACATGCTGCTGCGAATCGCTGCTGTCGAACACGTAGTTGTAGGTGAACGAGTCGCTGCAATTCACGGTCACCTGAGGAATCCCATCCACGGGGCGCTGCACGGCAATGCGGCAGCCGCGCTCCACCTCCGACTTAACCAGCGGGCGCACGCGCAGAGCAACGGCAACAGAGTCTGACATGGTTCGACGTTACAATCGGGCACTACAATTGCAAAACAAATATTATCAGTGCAATTATTGTTGATATTTTTCTGGCGCTCACCTGGATTATCTCTCAATTCGAGTTGTTTTATGTTTTATTTCCACTTGCTCTCGCCGAGATGCTGCGACTTTAATAAACAAACATTCAACACTTAATTGCCACTAATATGCCTAGCTCCAAGTAACCGCACACTTATAATTGAATGCAATTATGCATAAATAAATCAACTGCTGCCGTTCACTGATCGCGTCTAAAACAATTCGAAAAATGGTGGGACAAACGATATTTTTGCGGCAGCGGCGTCGGTGCCAGTGCAATGGTCAGTGTGTACACACTCGCATAAAATAAATGTGTGCACCCAATGACGATCACTTCTATCGATAGTTCTGGTTCATCGCTTAATTCAAATGCAACGGAATGTGTCAACTTAAAAAACGTCAACAAAAACGTTTGAGAGTTTTATAAAATATCAATGCATTTTTCAAAATGAACTAATTCAGGTCACTGTGTTTTTACTGACTATGATTCAATATAAATTGATTGTGTATAATAAAGTTTACAATCAATTGACCAGCTCTGTAGCCCTTTTATTTTCATATTATCATTCAGTGATATCCTTTGTTGAAAGTCTTTGCACATATATTTTTAGTCAAACATGGGTTTGAATCCATTTGAGCACCATTTTCCAGGTCGATGAAATTTGTCCATGAACTTTCACAAAGATCTTAGAAATTAGCTTGCAGCTCGGGTGTGGACCTACATCGCAATTAGCTTCGGCTTGAGCTCTGATCAATCAGTCAATCAGTCAGTCAGTCAGTCGGTCAGTCAATTAGTCAGTCGAGGCAAACTGTTACACACAAATAGATCTCATTTTCCAGTTGAATTTTGTTCAGATTTGTTGTTTACATTTGATTCGTTTGTACATTGCGTCTTTTATATTTTGCATTTCGGCTTTCGTCATGTGGATGAAACGTTCCGCGGCAATGGGCCAGGTCACACAGCGCAACTTTCTGCGCGAGAACAAGCTCCTGGTACGTCAGACGCCGATGATGACGCTGCGGCGACTCGATAGGGACCGGCACCGGGACCAGGAACGGGAGCGGGAACGGGAACGGGAACAGTGGCACTGGCCGCCGGCAAGCTATGAACTGCCGACAGCTGCATCGCTGGCGCATCGATCGGGCACGCTGCCGCTGGTCGAGACGCAGCGGCGCCTGATCCATGGCGGACGCCAGGGCCGAGCTTTTTACGGTGTCGGGCAACGATCGGAGAAGCAAATACAAACGGAGGATATTAGCGATGAGCAGTTCCTGAACGCAGCGCTGCTCAAGTGCACGGAGCAGGCACATGGACAGGGTGCGTCACGATCCATGCGCGGCTGCAGCGAGGGAGACGAGCTGCCCGTGCCGAGCCCCGTGGCCTGTGACCAAACTAATGCCAGCTGCCTGCGACGCACTGCATCCAATTTCGAGCTGGGCACAGTGCCCGCGCAACGCGGCAACCAGTCCATGAAGCACCTCCAACATAGACCGCTCAGCGGCGTGGTGGACACTGTGCCCGCTCAATTGGAACAGCTGCATCAATTGGATCACTTGGAGCATGTTGAGGATCAGCCAGCCGATGGGGGCGATAGCCTATCGAATGATGCACGGCCTTCCGCGCCGCCTGTGTTGCAGCTGGCCATACCGGACATAACGGACGTGGAGCCGGAGCCGCAGCTCGATCAGTCTTTGAGTGCACGGACCAATGTCTCCTGCCACTCGCAGACTGAGCCAACCCCAGCCAGCGAAGCGCTGCAGCCGATCAAGCCAGACCAGAACGTGCGCAAGCTGGGATCAGGCCAGGAGCAGGTACTGTTAACGGAGGCACAGCGAATCGCACTGCTGGAAGCGGCGCAGGCGCGCCACCGGGAGCTCATCTGGGAATACAATCGGCTGCCCATTTCGATGGGTACGCTGCGTGTGCGGAATCTCAAAATACAGCTGGAGCAGCAGCTGGACCTCATCGACAGCGACCTGACCATGCTGAACCTGCCACAGGTGTATATCAGGCGCGACCAGCTACAGCAAATCTCTAGTATCTCGTGTTAATGCCTAATAATTGTTGTTTCCTCGAGCAATCATGGTTTGATTTTAAATCGATTGGCCGATCGGCTGCTCCGTGCAAAATCAAAGCATGATGTAAGAGGTCGATTACATATTTGCAATATATATATAGATATATGTATGAATTTTTCTTTTTTTTTTTTTCTTAATTTAATTACTGATTGACAAAACGAATGTCAACATCACATTTAACACTTGCCTTATATTATTGAAAGTAAAAAGCCCAAACAGAATATACAAATTTCTTATAGCTTAGATCACATTTTACTTTTATTATTTGCTTTTGGGCATTAAATAGTAATCAGTAAAAACACAGTGACCTGAATTAGTTCATTTTGAAAAATGCATTGATATTTTATAAAACTCTCAAACGTTTTTGTTGACGTTTTTTAAGTTGACACATTCCGTTGCATTTGAATTAAGCGATGAACCAGAACTATCGATAGAAGTGATCGTCATTGGGTGCACACATTTATTTTATGCGAGTGTGTACACACTGACCATTGCACTGGCACCGACGCCGCTGCCGCAAAAATATCGTTTGTCCCACCATTTTTCGAATTGTTTTAGACGCGATCAGTGAACGGCAGCAGTTGATTTATTTATGCATAATTGCATTCAATTATAAGTGTGCGGTTACTTGGAGCTAGGCATATTAGTGGCAATTAAGTGTTGAATGTTTGTTTATTAAAGTCGCAGCATCTCGGCGAGAGCAAGTGGAAATAAAACATAAAACAACTCGAATTGAGAGATAATCCAGGTGAGCGCCAGAAAAATATCAACAATAATTGCACTGATAATATTTGTTTTGCAATTGTAGTGCCCGATTGTAACGTCGAACCATGTCAGACTCTGTTGCCGTTGCTCTGCGCGTGCGCCCGCTGGTTAAGTCGGAGGTGGAGCGCGGCTGCCGCATTGCCGTGCAGCGCCCCGTGGATGGGATTCCTCAGGTGACCGTGAATTGCAGCGACTCGTTCACCTACAACTACGTGTTCGACAGCAGCGATTCGCAGCAGCATGTGTACGAGGCGTGTGTGCGGAGCAAGCTGAAGAAGCTGCTCCATGGATACAACGTGACGATACTCGCCTACGGCCAGACGGGCTCTGGCAAGACCTACACGATGGGAACTGCGTTCGATGGGGTCATGGATGACAATGTGGGCGTGATACCGCGTGCAGTGCACGAAATCTTTGAGGAGACGGCCGCCATGGAGGAGGAGTTCCATTTCAAAATCACCTGCTCCTTTGTAGAACTGTATCAAGAGCAGTTCTACGACCTGTTCTCGCCCAACAAGCGCGAGGACAGCACTGTAGACATACGCGAGGACAAGAACCGCATTGTCCTGCCGGGACTCACCGAGGTCGAGGTCAAGCACGCCAAGCATGTCACCGACCAACTGATGCGCGGCTCCTCAGGCCGCGCAGTCGCCGCCACAGCTATGAATGAGACGTCGTCCCGTTCGCACGCTATCTTCACATTGACTGTTGTCACCACCAGAAAGACTGGCCAGTAAGTCGAGCAGTCGAGTGGCTAATCTCAGTTCCCTTCAAGTTGTTAATGTGCTTTGATTATTTAGGAAGACAGTGACGACTTCCAAGTTCAGCCTGGTCGATCTGGCGGGCTCTGAGCGCTGCTCAAAGACGCTCGCTTGTGGGGATCGTTTCAAGGAAGGCGTCAACATCAACAAGGGCCTCCTCGCGCTGGGCAACGTCATCAATGTGCTGGGCTGTAAGTAAAGCGGGATGCCTTATATCAGATGCAAGCATCTAACTTGACTAATCCTATAACACTTATCTATTTCTCGCCTTGCAGCTGGCCAAACGGCGGGCTATGTGCCCTATCGACAGTCCAAGCTGACGCGCCTGCTGCAGGACTCGCTGGGTGGCAATTCGATTACCCTTATGATTGCCTGTGTCAGTCCCGCGGACTATAACGTCGCCGAGACGCTCAGCACATTGAGGTATGCGGATCGCGCACTGCAGATCAAGAACAAGCCCGTCGTGAATATGGACGCGCATGCGGCTGAGGTAATGATGCTCAAGGACATCATACAGAACTTGCGCGTCAAGTTGCTAGCCTGTGGCGGAGGCGGCGGCGATGGCAATGGCCTTGGCATTGACGGTCCCTGTATGAACGGCTCCTCAGGGCTGAAGGAGCAGCGCCTTAACGAACAGTTGGAGCAGCTACAGCAGGCGAACGCTCGCATTGAAAAGAAGAATCAAAGACTGCAGCAGGAGCTGCACCAGGCACTCATCGATCTGGCCGAGAATGAGATGCGTGCCCACATAGCAGAGGTCACGCACGACAAGCTCAAAGCGCACGTGCTCGAGCTGAAGTCGAAACTGACCGAGACGGCAATGCCCAAGGCAGAAGAGCAGGGTGTGCAGCACGAGCCGGATCAGTCACAGCAGCTACTGGATACGAGGTGGCAGGAGCAGATGCGCGAAATCACGCAGCTTGTGACGTGCGTGGACGAGGAGCTGCAGCAGACGGAAACCGCTTTGCAGGCGCATCGCAAGGAATGCCTCAACGGTGGCAACAGCAACGGCAGCAGCAGCGAGGACTCCAACTTTGGCAGCGAGGAGACGCACGAGCTGCTGCAGTCGCGCACCGAGGAGCACACGATGAAGCAGCTGAATCTGAACGGCGAACTGCGCAACATAAATCGCCAGCTGGACATAAAGCAGGAGCTGCACGACCGCGTCACGCGCAACTTTAGCAAACTCCAAGATGATGGCATCGACGAGAAGTTCAAACAGTGCGAGCAGAAGATCGAGCAGCTGGAATCGGAGCGACGTGAGCTGATGGACCAGCTGCGTACCACCAAGCAAAAGGACACATCCGCCAAGCTGGCCGAGGAGCGGCGCAAGCGGCTGCAGGTGCTCGAGCAGGAGATTGTCGACATGCGTCGGAAGATCGTGCAGCAGGCAAATATGTTAAAGATGCGCGAAAAAGAGCGTGAAAAGATCCAGAACCTCAGCACCGAGATACGCGCCATGAAGGAGTCAAAGGTAAAGCTAATACGCGCCATGCGCGGCGAGTCCGAGCGCTTCCGCCAGTGGAAAATGATGAGCGAGAAGCAGCTGACGCAGCTCAAGAGCAAGGATCGCAAGATGCAGAGCGAGATGGCGCGCCAGCAGACGCTGCACGCAAAGCAGCGCCTGGTGCTCAAGCGCAAGTGCGAGGAGGCGCTGGCCACCAACAAGCGGTAATTGAATTGCAAATTGAAGGCTGGAGCAATATTTCGAAGAAAGGAAAGAAGGAATAAACTTTTGCTTTTCTGTTTTTAGGCTCAAGGATGCACTGGAACGGCAGAGAGCGGCGCAGGCGCAACGTCAGCGTCATGCCAAGGATCAGCCGGGTGCAGCCAAGCTAGATGCTTTGGTGGATCGCGAACTGGAGGTGATTCTCTCGCTGATCGACGCCGAGCACAGTCTGGAACAGCTAATGGAGGATCGTGCCATCATCAATGCCCACTGCTCGGAAATTAGAGCGCAGCAGCAGCAGGAGCCGCAGCCAGACGCAGAACAGGCTCAGCTACTGGCCAGCCTCGAGGAGGAACTGGAGATGCGCAATGCCCAAATAGCAGATCTGCAGCAGAAGGTCTGCTCCAACGATCTAGACAGTCGCATGGCTGCGCTATGCGACAGCGTCCAGAGCATAGGCGAGTCGCGTGCAATTAATAAGCAGCTGCTCAAGAGTCTCGTGCAGCAGCGGCGCGAACAGGCGCAGGGCATCATGGAGCAGAAGGTGCTGGTGGACGAGCAGCGCAGCCAGCTGAACGAGGCGCAGCAGCGGCACGAGGAGCTGACCAAACGCCTGCGCCAGGCGGAGAGAGAGCACGAGCAACTGATGGCTAGCCAGCAGCGCAGTTACGAGGAGAAGGTTGCGGTGCTGCTGCGCAGCTCGCATGCGCTGGGTGGCGCTGATTCCCAAAAGCCCGAAGATCTGGAGCGCCAGAAAATAGTCGAGGAGCTGCTCAGCACCAAGGAGGCGCTGCAGCAGGAGCTCGATCGCATCAAGTCCAAACAAAAAGCAACAAAGAAGCCCCAGCCCGCCGACGAGACAGTCATCTTTCTTAACGATAGCGTGCTAAGCGACGGACATGAGGATTCAGACAGCGATCCCGACTGGGTGCCATTGAAAAAACGTTCCAAGGCAAGTGCCATGCCCAGAGTGCAGTCTATAAGTCCCCCATTTCTCCTTCGCCTAATTCTCGCAATTTCCCTTATTCACACAGAAGTCGCATTCAGACACCGCAACGCTGGAAGCAGCTAGCGAGGGCGACAATCCCAACGGCAGCACTAGCATCAATAACAATACCACCGCCAACAACAGCCTGCAGGGCTCCATAGACATGAGCTCGATAACGGATGAGACACGCAAAGGAGCGAAGTGCTGTAAATGCCGCAAAAATTGCAACACGAAGCGTTGCGGCTGTTTCTCGACAAGCAGCGGCTGCAGCAGCTCCTGCAAGTGCCGGGGCAACTGCCAGAATCCAGTTAACAATGCCGACAAGGAGAACTCCACGCCCAGCACAGCTCAGAATATGACAGTTACGGTGAGCAGCGACGTCACGGAAGTCGAGCAGGATGCGGATGCCGATGCAGATGTGATCAAATCGAAAGATCACACCAATCCCGGGCCACTCTCCAGTCCGAACTCTGTGCTGGAGAAGCGTAACTCCCGACTGACCAGGTCTGACTAAGAATTGATTTTCACAAACAATGTCTTTATATAGATATTTCTCTCTTACAGAAACTCGGAGCTGCTCCTGCATACGCCTTCAACTAAACAGAAGTTCTTTTGAGCGCGATACTAGATATTGCATTGTGTTGATCTTTTGCTCCATGTTACTTTTTTATCGCAAGAATATGGTTTTCATATGGTTTTTTAAGCAAACTTTCTATTAATATTAGCATAAGCAGTTAGAAAAATAAACATTGTCAAATCAAATCGCATTTTCTAAGCTGGCACGAAAGAGAAGGCGTCATAGTGCAAGAAAGGGATGGCAAGCACACGGTGCGATCGGGATGGTCCATCGAAAATGGCTGATCCGACATGATCCTGCATGATCCTATCATATCCATAAATCGAACTCTTAAAACAACTTTAACTAAATAAAGCTCTGTTGTATTCTTACATTTGTTATTTATATTTGTTTAGTATTGAACTGTTTCCGGTCACGTAGCAAACTCTACCATGTACATCGATATACGGTTCTTTGCTCGCGGGCCTTATAATTAAAATAAATTACCCGGCCTTGTGCGGTTTAATTTAATTGAATTGAATATTATTAAAAAATGAAAACCTTTGTCAAAAATACAACATCAGACGTTTCATTTTGTAGGATTTTCAACAGTAGATCGATAAATAAATATCGTTGACCATGTTGACGAATGGTTCCATAGAAGCTACGGAATTTATAAAAAAAACACAATTTTCCATTATGTTGAATTAAAGGTGAGCGGAAGCATTTTCAGTTTTCGTATTGGATACAGGTAGTGGGTAACTCGTAGTCGGGCACTTTTCACTGAATCACTTGGACTCGATGCGTGGCAAAAACCGGATGTGTATGCCATCGCGGGAACGCAGCACCATTTGGGCCTGCAGGACCAGTGGCGCCAACGGCTCGGCTAGCTCCAAGCGGAAACGCTGGACAACGCGAACGGTGAGCAGCTTCATCAGCAGCAGCGAGTACCTGCGTCCAATGCAGACATGCGGTCCACCCGAATACGGTATATAGCTGTAAGCAGACGCCGTCGCCTCCGACTCCGTTGGCGCTTGCAGCCAGCGCTCTGGCCGAAACTCGTAGGGCTCCGGAAAGTAGCGTGCATCATGGGCCAGCCCATACATATTGATCCAGAGCGTGACGCCGGCGCAGTAGCGACGCCCTCCAATTGTTGTCGCCTTGGTGGTCTGGCGGCCCGTGCTAGGCACTATGGTGTACATGCGCAGCACCTCCTTGAGCACCGCATCCAGATAGCATAGCTTGTTGAGCGCATCCAGATCCGCAGCGCCACCGGGCGGCAGCTGAGACAGTTCCGCATGCAGACGCTCCTGTGCCGACGGCTGCTTGGCTAGCGCGTACAGCACAAAGCCCATGGCTGCCGTGGTGGTATCCACGCCCTGTCGAGATTCCAGAGAGAAAGAGAGAGAGAGAGGGAGAGTGGGAGAGCGAACTGTAGGCGCCACTTGAGCGTGACCAGCATGTACTCACCGCAAAGACAAACGTGTTGACCTCGTCGCGTATCTGGCGACGACTCAGCCCCGCCAGCAACATGGCATCTAGCAGGATGCGTGGCCCGTCCTGCGGCTCCACCAGCTGCCTCTCGCGCTGCTCTATGACCCGCTCCATGAGCTCGTGTATCAGCTGCAGCTGGACGCACAACTCGCGCCACAGACGCGTGCGCCTGAACACAAAGTCGGAGGAGAGCAGAGGATTGATCATTCTCTTGAACAGCAGCTCGCCGCTGCGATGAAAGGCCGCCACAATGGGCGAGTGCTCCACCAGCTGAGTATCTAGTCGATGTCCCATTGAAGTGTCTTAAAAAAAAAGGAAACAAATTAAGTATGCTGCAGTGGGGAGTGTTGACTAGGCGATACCCTGTGCCCAGGCGACATTGTCGAAAAGTGAACTATATTTACGATCTGCATATAGCTTGGATCACCTTCATATCGAATGTCTCTCTTGGGCACAGGGCATCGCACATTGGCTATATTTAAAGTAAAACTCTCACCGACAATGGCATCCAGCAGGCAGGCAAACAAATGATCCGTCACCTCGATGGCAGCGCCGCCTGTCCGCTGCAGTCTCTCGAGCAGGCGATCCGCATGCGTCGCCACCTTTGGCGCAAAGCTGCGTAGCAGCTGTGGCTGAAACGCCGGCGTTAGGAGTCGCCGCTGTGCGGCCCAATCGGCACCATGGCTGATCAGCAGGCCGTTGCCAATGAGCGGCGAGAGCTGTTGGAATGTGGCCGCCTTGCGTAGTGTGGGATCGTGCAGCGCCTGGCGCGTCTCCTCGGGACTGTGCAGGAAGACCCACAGCTGGGGGCCCACCCAGAGGCGGTAGGTGGCGCCAAAGCGTTCGCGCAGCTCTGTAAACACCAGAAAGATGTCTGCGACAACAGAAGCTGCTGGGATTCGGATGGCAACTGTCAGCTGCTCAAAACTCACACTCTGGCTTCAGCTTGCCAATCATTTGGGCATTGCCCAAGCCGGGCAGGGCCCACGGACCGGGCAGGCTGCTGCCCAGCTGCAGCAGCTGTCGCATGCGCCACAGCAACAGGCACAGTCCCAGGGCGAGCAGCAACGACAAAAGCGCCATCTGTGCGTAACAAGCATTGAAATCCAATTGATTAGCTGTCCGCTCAATTGGGTTTCCAATTGGATTCGATGGGCACAATCAGTTGCTGATTGCTGCTAATCAGAATGTCCGCGCACTGCATGCTAATCCAATTGGCTTACGGTTGCAGTTCAATGCACGATTTAACAGCGCTGTAATTGCGCTCCAATTGCGGTTAAAAGGCACTGCTTGGCCATAAATTGATATTTTTTATATGCTTCACATAAGTTTGGCGTCTAGTATCTAATCTGGCGTTAGCCAGACGACAATTAACTTGGCCTTGGTCAACTGCAATCTACTGCTGCTGTGCAGTGGAAAGAAACTCTAGAAGTCGTCACCAAAGTGCTTCGCAAATGTTATCATGTTATGTTAATCTTATTAGATTTGCAGCTAAGTGTTGAATGTTAAAAATTGGGCCAGTGTTGCCACCGTGCAAAAGATTGGATGTTTTTTAACTGCTTGTTAACTAACATGAACTTTGTCAGTAGGTTAAAGAACAACTCGAGAATTAATTAATATGCTATATTTTATGGAATTGAACTTTAACATATTGTATGTAATATTTTTTATTCAATAATATTTGTATGTATTTATGTATGTATGTATATATATTCTGAAATTTTCATTTCTTTTCTAATATGCAGACACAAAAATTTGTAATAATTATTGTTATCCTTTGGTTTTTTTTTATTTTTTTTTTTTGTTTTGTTTAAATATTTTTCTTCATTTTTGTTTTTAACAGCTATGCTCGTAATGTTTTTGTGGCTTCGTTTTATTGTTGAGAATTGTTACATTTGCCTTTAGCAATTTTTTTTTTTAACACATAGTTGCTTTAACATTTACAACGATTATAATTTGCGTTTCTATTTGATTTGATTCATCGTTACGTTCATATATACTATATACGTTTTCTTTAAAGCTACAATAACTCGTTTATTCATTTCTTAAATATTTTTTTTCACTTGTTTTTTCTTTTCTTTTGTGGGTTAGTTTACGTCGTTTACCTTTGGTTGGTTTTGTGTTATTCTATTTGTTTTATTTGATTTTCTTTTTGTTCTTCGATTTTAACAATATCTCGATAGTTATACAAAAGTTAAATATTTCTATATATATATATATGAAGGGTTTTTTCGTATTCGCATATTTGATAAGAGCTATTTGCAAAAGTAATTGAATTGTAATTAAATATTCCGTTGTATATTTTTAGCATGTGCGTTTCAATATTAAATCTTTATCGATATATTTCGATAAGCCAATAATTCGATTAGTTCTTTTTTATTTTTTTGTTTTTTCGTTTTACCTACGGATTATAAAGACTAAACGGCATAGACTCGTCGAGCTTATGCCGAATTTGACTGCCCGATCGATTTTCGATTACAAGTGTTATCGATAATTGAGAATCAAGTTCCCGATAACACGTATCTATTAAATTTCACTTGCATTTAAATATTTGTGCGCTAAGAAAAAGTGTGAAATTGCACAGATACGGAATTCGGGAACATGTCTCAAAAACAATTTTGCTTAAAAAATGGCTTTAGAATAAATATTTGCCTTTACTATGTGATCTAAGAGGTCATTAAATAGTTTTCTTTCTTCTTCCTATTTTCGCCAACTTTCAAGTATTTTAAATATAAATACAATTGTAACTTTCTAATTAGTTAGATAATAAAGCGTTTTCCTTACTTGGTGTTTGGATTGCTATGGTAGTTGTTGTTGTTGTTGTTGTTGTTGTTTTATCTCTTGCTGTTGTTGTTTGTTGTTGTTGTTTTAGTTGAAACTCCTTTCGAACTGTCGCATCATCGTTGCTTAAGTAAATATATATATATATATACATATATTATATGTATGTGTATATGTATATGTATATTAAATAATGTATATAGTTAAGCGCTTATTAATTGGTGTTTTTTACATTTATTCTCGTTATTTAAATATTTATTTAGAACTTGTTTTGATTTGTTTCCATCGATTGAGTATATATATATATATTTTTGGTGTTGCTGCTCGGTTGTGCTTTGACATTGCGTTCGGTATTCTGTTGGATGCAGTTTATCGCTTGCAGTTCCATTTCCATGTTCCCTGTTCCATATTCCATGTTCCATATGCCATATGCCATATTCCATATTCCATATTCAATAATTCGTATTTGATTCGTTTTAGCAAAAATCTCAATTAATAAAAACTGTGTGCGTTTGCCTAATGAAACACATGCAAATTTATATGATTTCGATACATAATAATACTTATAATATGTATATATCTATGCATATATCGGTGTGTATATGTTCGTGTGTTCCAGTTTAAAAAAAGTTATATACGTTACATTCGAGTCGAGAACTAAAACTAAGGCTAGTACAGCTCTATATTAACAAACACGAGAGCGAAGAAGCCAGGCTTCAGCATTACAATTATTCGATAAGAACTAGCTATGAGTGTATGAACGGGTTTATTTTTATAGAAAATACCATTAAAATGATTCTTTTTTTTTTTTTTTTTTTGTTTTTGTTTATAATCATTATAATTAGATTTGGTTTGTATATGCTGTATAAATAATTAACATGCTGGCATATACGAAACAATTGCATCGAGAATTGCTTATAGGAAAATCTTTGGATTGGGGCGAAAGCATAGCCTGATTTGTCTTTAAATCAATAATATATATATATATACATACATATATATATATATATATAATATATGAGTTTTGGAAGGTTCGCCATTCAAGCATAATATGTATGCACTTGGTTCGATAGTTTCGCATCTCTATATAAGGTAGTCTAAGATCGCAATTGGGTAACTAATATTAAAGTTAGTTCTATTTTTAGTTGCTGAACACGTTCGTGCTTATTGTTTCATCGTTGCTTTTGCCGTTATTTTACTTAAATTTGGTTTTGTATTTGCTTTTGCATTTGCATTTGCTTTTGGTTTTATTTTTGTTGCTTTGGTGTTGTCGTTTCTTCTGATTTGCGTTTGCTTTTGTTTTTGTTTGTTTTTTGAGTTTTGGTTTTTGGTTATTGGGTTCTTGGTGTTTTGTTGGTCAATCAGTTTGCTTACGCTCGTTATAAGGCCTGATGTGATTGTAAGTGTCGTACTCAACTGAAGCGTAGCTGAATATATGCTTAGAATTGAGGTAATTTGAAAATTGGCAGCGGCGCTTGTTAGTGTGAAATGCGGCAACAGCGCCTAACATTTATTGCTTAACACTGAGAAAATCATTAAAAAAATATGAAATGTTCAAAATCAAACAAACTGAAAAGAAAAATCAATCAAATAAAATTTTTTTTTGTTTTTTGTTGTTGTTTTTTTTTTTTGTTTAAATTATTTCATAAAAAATAGTTTATTTCTGTGTATAAATACATATGTAATTTGTGTTTTCGCTTGGTTTTTTTTGTTTTTTTTTTTCGTTCTGCAAAATCAATAACAATTAAAGCGCTTACAAAAAGCAATCAAATAATGTTTAAATTAAATTACAAATTTCGGGTTTCATTTATGTAAATTGATTGCTCAAAATGTTTTCTCTGTATGTATGTATGAGTGTGTGTTGCTTGCGAGTAAAAAATCGCAAAAAGTTTGTCGAATGTTTACAAAAATCAAACAAATTTAAGACAATCATGCGTGCGTGTGTGTGTGTGTGTGTGTGTGTGTGTGTGTGACATACCTAAGGTACAGTGCTTTAATATTGCATATAAACTTGGCTTACATTTCGCTTTCCACTTACAAAAATAATACACACACACACACACACACACTTATAAACTTAGGGTGTACAATTACGACAAAAAAAAGATGTATATTTATAATTATAATAATTATATAATAATAATAATAATTATATTAATGCCTAAGTTGATTATCATTTAAAATGTAACACAATAAATTTGATAAGTTATATTCGTACGTCCGTAAAATTAAAGCAAAATACAATATTCAAACAAAGAGAGAGAGAGAGTGAGAGAGAGAGAGTGAGAGAGAATACAGATACAAATAAGAGTGTTAACAGCGAGTGTTAACAGACAGTGTTAACAGACAGTGTTAACAGCGTGTGTTAACAGCGTGTGTTAACAGCGTGTGTTAACAGCGTGTGTTAACAAAGAGTGTTAACAGCGAGGGCACAAATACATATACGTACATACATGCATATGTATGTGTGAAAACAAACAACATTTAATGTGGGATTGGCTGCTGGCTTCGCGCTTGGCTTTTCGCAGAGAAAAGGGTATAGAGAAGGAGTGGGGGCAGGGGTCAGAAATGGGTAGATTTTGACAATTTAAAAATGGGTTAACAATAAACGTTGCCAATGCAACTATTTTTGCACATAATCTTCTTAAACTAGTTGCATACATTTAAGCATACGCTTTTTATCTTTATCAATATTAAAAAATTATTTACTATATATCTTTTCAGACAAGGCATATTTGACAGAGTTGCTTTTTGTTGCTTCAATAAGTGTTGTTCGTGTTTGCATGTGTGTGCATGCGTGAGACTGTGTGTGCGTGTGTGTGTGTGTGTGTGTGTGTGTGTGTGCGCGCGTGCGTGTGTGTGTGTATATTCATTGCCTTCAAATTGATTTCTTATGCGCTTGCCGCTATTCTGTTCTATGCATGGTCTGTTATACTAGGCTAATCTGTTCTATTTTCTGTTCTATTTCGGTTCTCTGTTCTCTGTTCTCATTCTGTTCCGTTTGACGCCGTTATTTGAATCACAATCAACGCTTTTTTTTTTCTTTAAATTTTTTCTTTTTCTTTTCGTTTATCAACACTTACAACACTAAAACAATATGCTCCGGCTTCCGTGTGGCCGGTATTATATCATGATTATAGATCATGGATCATCGATCATATTATCGAATATTTTATAGATCAGCTTTTAGTCTGGTGCTGCTGCAGCCCAGTTACAAATTTCATTTTCATTTTCTTTTGCTTTTGCTTTTGTTTTTGTTTTAACAACTACATACAAACATGGCTGAGGGGGGTGGGAAGTGGTGGTGGTAGGGGGGCACTTACAAATTAAAGCGAGACATAAACACACAAAAAAAAAAAAAACAATAAAATTAAATTAAATATATATATATATATAGACGCATTTAAGAACAATAGGACACACAACAACGGACAAACAATTGGGACATTTAAAAATATAGGTATATATGTGTGGGTTTTTAATATAAAAAAAAAATCAAGAGTTTAGAAATCGTTATTTGCGCTCTTCAGAAACAGGTTGGGTAAGAAGTAGGAGAAGAAGGAGAAGACTGAATGCGTGCGTGCGTGCGTGCGTGCGTGCGTGCGTGCGTATGTGTGTATGTCAAATGCAGCTGCATATCGAATATGACAGCGCGCATATTTAGAAATTCATTTGTCATGTCTTGCGCGGCGGCGTCGGCGGCGGCGGCAGCGCTGGCGCAGCAGCAACATAGGCAGCGTGCGGCTGCCTCAGACTGTTCATGTCTTTGGGAATGTTTTTGTATTTGGCTGAAAGATGATGGGACTGGTGAGCAACTTGAGTAAACCACCTGGCCGGCCCAAGACCTGCTTCTGCTTACCTGCTGCTGCTGCTGCTGCTGCTGCTGATGCTGATGCTGCGGTCGTTGTTGCTGCTGGCGCAGCTGCTGATGCTAATGCTGCTGCTGCTGCTGCTGTTGCTGCGTCGTGCAACTGTTGCTGCTGCAGCTTAAGCGCTGCCAGCGAATCGCTGTAAAAATTTGACTTGCGCATGTTGCTGCCGTTGCCGAGAATGTTGCCATTGCCGTTGGCATTGCTGCTGTTGGCGCTGCCGCTGCCGCTGCTGCAGTTGTTGCTGCTGCTGACCACACCATTGTGTTGTGCTGTGCTGCTGCTGCTGCTGCTGTTGCAGTAGCTGCCGCTGTTGCCACTGCTGTTGTTGTTGTTGCTGGCGCCCAGTGGCGGCAATGGTGGCTGCAGCTTGGCGGCATGCTTATTGCCCGCATTTGCTGCTACTGCTGCTGCTGCTGCTGCCGCAGTCAACGGTTCCGCAACTGCTGACTTACACGATACTAAACTTAGATTAGAAATTGCTGGTGGTAGTGGAGATCTTTGTGAATCATTGCCAATTTCGCCGGTATACCTGAAAGAGGAACTGCTGTTAATATTATCGCAACACACACACACACACACACCAGAGCACTTACTTGATGTTGGTGTACTCGCGGCCAACCTGGAGGCTCTGCTCCTCGGCTCGTTTGCGCGCGATCAGGGTCTGAATGTAATGCTGCACCGCGTAGTAGACGAACTTGTACTGGGCCTCTGTCTGCACCATGCCCGACCTCTGCGAACGCACCATTTGAATTGTGCGTTGAATATCGATTTCAGTGTCCAAGCCTGTGAATATTAATAATATATATATGTTAGATAAATCAATATGAAGTATAAAGTATAAAGTACTGTAAGATCTTTTTCATGTTTATTCTATTAGTCAATTCCTAACAGCTTTGCTAACTTTCTTATATTGCCTTTAACCATTTGCCAGCTGTTAGTGATAACTAACATTACACACTTTACATATTTTACATTATGATGTTAGCTCATAACAGCTCTGCTAACAATTATGCTAGACAGCTGAATGTTAAACATTAACATTTATGTTGCTAACAAAGCAGTCAAGTTAATGGGTGACATAGAGCTGTTAAAGTGGCTGTTATGCTATATACTGCTTACCGTTTCGCACTATCTGATCCAGAATCATGTCGATCACAATAAATGTGCCTGTGCGTCCGATGCCCGCTGAGCAATGCACACAAATGGGACCCTAAGAAGGAATAGCGACGCAGAGAGAGAGTGAGTTTCGATAATTTAAAGTATTTGATTGTATTTTTTTTACTTACCGGCTTTTCGCCGGCCTGGGCCAGACTGCTCTGTTTGGTGTTAACATCCTGCAGGAAGTTGAGCACACAGCCGGGATCAGCAGGCACGCCGTGATCGGGCCACACTTGGAAATGATAGTGGTAGATGCGTCGCTCGGGCTTGTCGCGCCACGAGAAGAGAAACTCGCGCAGCGTATAATCATTGGTGGAGTTCTCCTTGATGCAGTGCACCTTGGCGTGACCGAATTGCTTGCATTGCCCCTCATCGGGCCAATAGCGTTCGCACTTGGTTTTGCCCCGCTCGATTTCCTTGGTGGTCATGACAATGACGCGCGTATTCTCCTGCCAGATCATGTTCCAGAAGTCCGTCTTCGTGTTGGCCAAGCAGCCCTGGGTCGCGATATACGTCTTGAACTGATTTCCCTCGCCATTCAGCAGCGAGCCCGTCAAGGGGCCGCTGCACGAAGACGTTGTCGATGGAGGCGGCGAGGCGTCTCCGCAGTGCTTCTTCAACAGCACAGCCAGGCAGCCATTGAGAGCCGCCGCTGCTGATGTGTTCCCAGCGGCGGTCGGCGTTCCCGGTCCAGTGCCCGCTGCAGACGCATTCGCCGAGGCTGACATCGATTCGCTGCGCTTGTGCTTGCTCAGCGAATCTGATTTGCGATTGCAGGTGGCACAGTTCGTGGGCAGCGTGGCCGATTTGACCGCGCACTTGACACACGTCTTGTTCAGCAGATGGCAATTTGGGCAATTGCGTTGCGTTTGGGCTGCGGTGCAGGCCGGACACGCGGCTACCGTACTATTGAGGCTCTCCGAGGAGCTGCTCATGTTATAGAGATCGCCATCGGTGGGTAAACGTATATAGTTGGCGTTTATGTACTCGGCGCCCGGTACACTGCGCTCCACATCCTGCAGCTTGACGCGCGTGTGATCGTCTGCAAGTGGAATGGGTAATGGGGAATGAGAAATACGAGAATCGTTAACAAACATGTAACTAGAGCGTGAATGGAGCACTTGCTTACAGGGCAATATGTTGCGGTAGCGATTCTTCAGACGATTCTCATCCTTGTAGCCTTCGTGGCGCGAGAATGTGTCTCGACTGTCCTGTTGCAGCGACTCGAACTCCTCCCAGAAACCGCCCTGCCGTGAAGGAGGAGATGAAGTTACGTTAGTTTCGATCCTGGTTTCTGTTATGTACAGACTCGCTATTTGACTTACCTTTACCAGCTGTTCAACTCGTGCATTGATGCCAGCGGCAGTTATTCGTGTTGCATTAAATGGTTGGCGCAAATGCACCACTGTGCCGCAAGTCTCCACCATCGGATGGCGTTTGTAGTGCTCGATCAGTTCCGAGAGAGTTGCAAACGATTCACCACCGCCAACGTCGTACTTTTTATCCTGTAACAGATAATGTGAAAATCAGTTGAAAGCAGTTGTCACATCCAATTAATGTTTAAATGTCAAGAAAGCAGTGCACTGACGATGTTGGCTAACATAGCATGTAAATTAACAGTCATCAATGTTAAATACATGCTAATGACAAATAACTATCGATCGAAGAGCCAATAAATACATTCTAATAAATATTACTGCCGACACGCGAACACCGAGAATTTAAGACTTTAATGTACACAAATGGATGCAAAGCATATAGATGTACACATATCAAATTTTATATTCAATTATATATATGTAAACAAATTTAATGTAAAGAAAATATTAAAATATATTGTAATTCCTAAAGCACGCTTTGTTAAGTTCCTGTCAAAGCTCTTTAGCTGCCAACTAAATGCTGTCAACTTTCAAACGTCTACTCAAATTAACTCCCTGGAAAATTACAAGAAAAATCAGCATACCCTTTGCTGGCTGTCTAATTCTAGGGTAGTCGCTAGCAACTTGAACTGTAGCAATAAAATCGAAATTGAAAAACGCTACACAATTAGCTAATAAAAGTGCAAACGTGACCGCAATGTCAAATTGAACTAAAGCCCAACCGGTCATGTAAATATCATTATTCCAAATGGCGTCAAATAGCAACAGCTACAGCCACAGCAACAGAAACAGAAACAAAAACAACAATCAATAATTTTTGTGGGGATTTACGGTAGTTACAATATGCTGCTTAGAAGTCAACAAATTGACAAATATATGGGATTGTCATGTTTATGGGGAGTAAAAAATAAAAAATCCCATGCCTATATTTGTTTTGAAGTACATTCTTTTTTTTTTCTAAATCTATGTATGAAAATTTAAAAAGTTTCTATAAATAAATTAAATAATTTAGGCTAGCTGTAAGTCCCCGATAAGAAAAGATTACTATAAACAATAAATCATGACTGGTTAAAGATATGTTTACTAAAATGCATGCATTGTATTGTTTAAAAGCATGTAAATCCCACAAATGAATTGGGAATTTCTACACATGTAATCATTGAAACTGTCATCAGTTAATCAAGGCAACTAGCTAACTGAGCGAGTGGTCAAATTGAAGCAAATATATTGCAGGATAATAAATTAGATCAGTTATTTAAGTCTGTTAAAAACAGAGCAATATAACAGAGCATTAACAGTTGCTAGCCTGTTGGCAAGCAGTGTGCTGTTGCAGCAACAGTATTGGCAGCTCCTTGAATAACGGAGACTTGGCAGTTGCCTGCCTATGTTCAAGCAGTGCATACATTAAAGCAGTTCATTTGAATATTACGCATACGCCACCAGCGCAAAATAAGTGTGAAACTAAATTATTGAAATGTGATGACAATAACCAAATATGTAAACACTTCTAAGTGCATTTACAGCACACTCACACACACAGACTCAAAACGCACACATGCTGCTGACACATGCCTGCATGCATACATATATAGATAAATACATGTATATATGCAGCTACACACAACTAATTCAAGGTCAAGCGATGAGGAACTTTACGGCCAGTCAGTCGTCGCTTACATTACTTGTCTTGGCTATTATTGTTGTAGTTTCTGCTGCTTAGTTAGTAGTTGTTGTCGAGCACACAAATCGATTTGCATTTGCATTCGCTATTGGCCACTATTAGTAAGAACAACACTTGGGGCAGCAGGTCGAGCTGCTGTCAAGTTTTGGCACTTACCTGCCATCTAATCATGACATGCGTCACTTTGTCGTCTGTACGCACGGATAGGACGAAATCACCAGGTTTACTTTGAGATTCACGCACGAGAAATGAACCATTCTTGCCACGCTCCAATATCAATTTTTCAGCTTCTTTGCCAGAAAGATTGCCGTGAAACCATCTGCAATGAGACAAATATTTGATTTGAGTCTTAAGTAAATACATATTAGCATAGTTATATATTTATTTAGTAAGCATTATCAATTTGTATAGTTACGCGTGTATTTAGCTTCAGCAGCTGTTTCCGACTGCAACTAAGCGACTGACTGACTCCCGCTGGACTGACTCGGTAGCTGGCCGGCTGTCTCTCGTTGTACGTGCGCGCTTGAAATGCGACTATGAACTGCACAAATTGCAGGCATGTGTGCCAAATGACAGCAACAACTCAAAACGATGCCGACAACAGCGACGAGCAACCAGTAGGAAATCAAACACGAATACACGAAAACGAAAACAGAAACGAATACAAATCGAATTGAATCGCATCGCATACGAGCACAAAAATGCACAACACCAGCAAAATGCGAAGAAAACAGACAAATGCAAGGCAAACAGCAACAGCAACAACAGCAACAACGACAACAACAACGAGAAAAGTGCAAGTTGTTGCTGTTGCTTTGAGCTAACGTATAAGGCTTTAACGTTGTCGCCTGGCCAGGCCAGTTGGACATGGACATAGACTAAATAAGTGTGTTTATATATAAATAAATAAATACATATATATACACATATATTTATATATATAAATGTGCATATATGTACGCAACAGCCTTAAACAGTTGACACAGAAAGCAAGAGCCATCAAAAAGTTGTTGCTGTTGCTGTTGCTGTTGCTGGCGACGTCTAATTGAAAGCTATTTCAAATGCACTGCTTGACATTTGGCGCCGACAGCGCCAAGCAGTGTAGCTGGCAAGCAGCGCCAGGCGTTTTCTTGCTTGAAATGATCTATAAAAACAGGGTAGCTGCCGAATCGGGTAGTTTCGCATTCGGCTTACGCCACGCTTTTGTTGCTTTCCATCTGCCTAAAGTTTAATTTTGCCTAATTTCAAATACAAATACAATTTCTAAGATGAGTTAATTTTTGTTAATGTTTTTCGTGTGCTTGATTTTACGTTTTATAAACTAGTTATGCCCACTAATTTGAGCCAGTCACAAGACAGTTTACAGAGTATCTCTTTCCAGCTGTGGTTCTGACACCTTCGGATTTGTTATTTTGTTTTGTTTTGTTTTGTTTTGTTGCTTAAATTGGCTTTGAAATTTGTTTTGGCTCGCAGCGCTTCTCATTTGCATAAATAACACTAACTCAAAAAACTTGCTTTGAATTTGAATGCGAGCAAAACAGTACAGTATAGAACAGAACAGAATAGAGCTGGGCAGACATTTAAGTTTCTGTTTCGGTTTCAGTTTCAGTTTCAGTTTCAGTTAGTCGAATCAGTTGTAGCTGCTATGGCTGGAGTCAACGTCATCTAGTTTTTAGCACTTGTAGAGTTCGACGGCATCTCGTAAATCGAGCAGAGGAGAGGCACACACAAAATAAGCACACAAATCAATCGCAGTTGTCCTTAAGCCGGTTTCAATTTAACTGCCCGCTTGTTCTCTCATGGTTTTTATTGATTTTGGGGTCATAGTTATCATAAAACAGGGCTGCCAATTCATGCCTTATGTATAAGAGCGTATGCATGCATGCATATTTATGTAGAGAGTGAGTCCCCCCCTTCCGTTCAATAATCCCCCATTTCCCCCTCTCCCTCTCTCTCTCTAACGATCGATTATCGATTCTATCTTCCGCAAGTGCTATTTATAGCTAAAAACTCATATAAATAATTGACTTTACATTAGATCGTCATATATGTGTATATGTGTATATCGTGCACTTCAATGCCTGATCGTTACATATTCAAGGTGCTATGGCCGGAATGATAGTGATAAGAGTTCGTCATGTTTGTGTTATTTTTAGCACCGGAAATGGCATTGAATCGACACTGTCGATAGTTCGATTAACGATAGTTTTGCTTTTCCAGTCGTACTTTTTGCAAGCTCATCCAAACAATTAACTTAATAGATTGGCATTGTTTTGCGATTTGTTGTATGTTTCACAACAAATTTAAATGAAACATGAAATGAATGCATGTTAAGCACTTGCGCAACACTGGCTAAAAGTGCGGCAGCAGTCAGCTTTCTGTCAGCGAGCGGAATTTCTGGCAACTCTCTGGTGCGTAATTTCCAGAGGATTCATACTTCAACAATCTCTAATGTCTGTTGACCATATAGTATATCTATATCTACATATATATACACACAAATATATATATATATATCCATACATATATATATATAAATGTATACTAAGTATGTATGTGTGCATATGTGACTGCGCATTATTTAAATTTCTTGTTTCTTGCTGTTGTTGTTCTCTGTTCTCTTTTTTTTTTTTGCACTGTGATTCAACACAATCGACTTGGCTTTTGGGGCAGCCGCCAGCAGCAGCAGCAGCAGCAGCAACCAGTCAACATTCAACTGTCAACAGAGCAATTAGCACCTTTCTTAGTGTCGACTTTTATTGTACCTGGCATAGGTTTTATTCCTGGTCAACTGGTGGCTAAAGCAGCTGCCTTAAGCGCATAACTGTTTAATTTCTCAGCTGCAATTGCTTTTCACTTAAATAAAATCTCTTTTTTTTTATTTGGTGACTTTCATCGAGTTCGCACAGACTGTTGTCAAACTGCATGCATACCCTGTAAAAGAGGGCCAGTCTGATGGCAACTTCTGGCCAAGACCTGGCTATTCGGTTGGCATAGTTGGACTTAGTGAAACTGTATAATCATTTCGCAGCTGTCGCATTTTACAGGGCATCTGCAAGTCGTGCTTTGTGCAGCCATTGACCTTGCATTATTACAGTTACAGTTACGCACAGGAAGCAACTGGACGGCAATTGTATCTCAAGCTTATCTTAAAGCTGAACCTGTTGGCCATTCATGAAACGCTATCAAAAAGGTCAACAAACAGCTCAGCGCAAAAATATATTCACATTATTATGTACATACGCATACACACACACACACACACACACACACATTTATATATATAATATGTGTATATTTTGTATAAACAAATATATCGTACAACGCATAAATTAACATTTGTCACAAGTTGATAATTTTGTGTGCCAACGCACCTGCGAAACGAGCTGCGAGTCAAGAAATCAGAAAACTGACAACTGGAGGCTGGACATATCTTTGTGTCGACTGTACTACTAGCTGCCGAGAGGGGGAGGTAGTGGAGCGGGCTTGGGTGGCTGGGTGGCTGGGTGGTTGGGTGGTCTGTTCTCGCTGTAGGCAATTTCCATTTCAAGTGCAGGCTGTAAGCTCGTAAATTTAATGCCCCTTTACAAATAAGGCAGGCATTAAAACTGATTCCATGGCATGCCATAGCGCAGCAAAAAAGCAAAGCGACGAGTGCCCGACTAGCGAATACCCTAAGCCCAGGCATAGGTTGACTTTAAACTCTATACGGCGGCACATCTACATATGGACATGCATTTTTAATATAATATATATTTTCACTTCGGTGCTTATGATCCGATCATAATTCATTTTCAGCTCTTAGAAATGTCAGCCAAGGCTCGCGCTTTCAAGAGAAGTTCAACCAATATTTGTTAACATTTTTCAAGATCAATCTTAATTAAAAAAAAAACGATAGCGAAGCCTTCGGTCGATATACCCTTTGTGCCCGTTTTTAATGGGAAAAGTAAAAAATCTCGCCGTGTTGCACTCGTAGCTCGGTGAACCCGCTAGAGTACACAAATCGTGGGGCTAGCCCAAGATAAATGAAACACAAAACGAAAAAAAAAAAAGCTCATTAAATTTGTTTTTTGTTTTTTGCATTTTGAATTTTGCGCAAATTAAAACATTTATTTATTTGCTTAGCAAAATCATATAAAAGCAGCAACAACAAGGTAAACCTTGTTTTGCAATGCATTTAACGGAAATATGCAAGCGAAAAAAAATTAAAAAAATAATAATAATAATAATAAATAGACGAAAAGAAAACACAACGCGCAACCATTAAAAATTCGCGTACTTAGTTAACAAAATGTAAAACAATTTACATTTGACAGACTGCACTTGAAGCTGTCAAGGAAAACCAGCCAAGGGGTGAGCAGGGGGGCGGTGAGAAGGGGGTGGAGTGCCATGAGAATGGAGACTGATGGGCGGCGGGTGGTGGCGGAGAGTTAGAAGGAGGGGGCCGGGGGGCTGTTGGCATTAGGTTGGGTACACTGTGTGCACTGTTAATTGGGACATGCCGCACTCTAACGGTAAACAGCGAAATGACCCACTGAATGTGTGTGTGTGTGTGTGTGTGGAGGGGGGATTGGTGTGTAGTAAAACTGTTCGTTCGATTAAATGATGGCGTTTACGGAAGCGTCATAAAGTGACCATGAAGGTGGCCGAAGAAACGATAATTATCGTGAAAACAAATGGATCGATAAATACTTTTAAATACGATTTGTTTACGTGGAATAAAAGTGGAAATTAAGCTGAAAATTGTATGTTAACAATTTTGTGCAAGAGAAATGGAAGAGCTGTTAATAATTATTACACTAATTCTACGCAAAGAGAATCTATCGATAAATACATTTTGAATACAATTTCTAATGTAGAATAAAAGTGACCATGGAGGTGAAAATTGTTTGTTATTTTAGTTGGCAGAAATGCAATGTAGAAACTGATAATTGTAATTACAGATTCTAACGGAAATTCATATTGAATACTTGATTTCTGTAGAATAAAGTGACCATGGAGTTGAAAATTGAATATTTGGGCTGGAGCAATAGCAAAAGAGTCAAAAAGAGCCGAAATACAGGTAATTGTGGGCCTAGAACTAAATAGAACTAAGCATAAAGTGACCATGGAGGTGAGCATAGCAGCTAAGCATAATGCCAAAGAATGTCACAGTACTGAATAAAAAGTGACCATGGAGGTGACAGTTTAACTGTGTGTATGCCAAAGAAATGCGCAAGACTCTTAGAGAATTTTTAAAAAGTATATATATTCTTTTGCATATCTAAAGCATGCGAGAATGTGGGTTAATAATGCCATAAATACCTGCCACTAACTGTA